CTAGGTGACAGCTTTCAAACACACATCCCAGTTGGTTTTCTGCCAATTAAACTTTCAGTCACTTCAGCTGACACTGGAGCTAAATGTATGGTTACTCAGTTAACTGTGGTTGATTCAGTGGCCACACATGTATTTTAAAGTTTTGCCAACACAGCGACTGGGGAAATCTAAGTTTTACCTCTGAAGAATAACTTGGCTGAAGGTAATTGCTGCTCAGTGGTGCGGATACACTTTGTAAATATCTCCATTTGTCTAAGCTCCACTCTCTCATGTTTACTATGTGATGCTGCCGTGGAAACCCTGATGGTTTGTTTGATATTCACCTCAGTGCCTCCCACCATTTGCCCCTTGTCCCTGCTGTGTGGTCACAGGCTCTCTCCACCTGTGAGAGGGAGGGAGAGTTAATAGACTGGGGCTGTATATTTTATGTGTCTGCTCTGTGTTTCCAGCTGCCTGCCTTGAGGAACGTGTGTTTCTGTGAATTTCTTTTTCTCGCCCAGTTATGTCATGCTTTGAGGTTCATTTTTCTCAATCTTTTCAGTGCTGTCAATTCTTGCTTATGTAATCTTGGTCAACACTGGGTCAAGGAGATTGGAGCAGCCTGGAAATTAGATTTGAAATAAACTTGTATCTGAAAGCTTTTTTTTGGTATACAGAATGTATTATCTCGTTGTTGTTTTTTGCATTCATACATCTTTTTAACTGAAGCTCCACAAACAGGCTGTGAACATTAGAGAATTGGTCTGTAGTCTTCATGCTGTACATAACAGTATATTGGGAGCATGTGTGTACTCAGTGAGCTGTGAGAAGACAGCAGTGGGATTACTCTTCCTGATGTAATCACTACTTCCTGTTCGCCTGTTGAGGAATAGAAACAATTGTTTCTCAGCAAATTTACTGTACATGACAATGCACTATGTGCAGAGTGTGTATCTGTGGCTGTATCCCTCTGCTTACAGTAATGTGAGTGTGTGCGTGTGGCTTATGTGAAATATAGTGACTGGGACTATTATTTGAGAAGAGTTAACTATTTGTTCTGCAAACAAATGTGCATGTGACTCTGTTGCTTCACTGTGTTGGTGCAGTTGGCTGATAGGATATCTTTATCGTACGACCGAGTGACCCATAAAGACTGCGCTGCAGTAAAAGCTTTTTTAGACTGTTGCCAGTTGTCGGGAATATGATCAGGCAAACATTTTGCTTTTTAATATTAGCAGGACTCAAATTCAGTGATTGTTCTGAACAGCCATCTTTTTCTGTTTGACTCATTGATGGTTATCAGACAACATTTATATATTTATAGCTTCTCTGTACACAATAAGACCATGCTAAACTGATTCCCCCAGTAATAATTAACCTAACTAGATAAACACTTATTTATCTTCAAAGAAATTCACCATTCGATATGTCCAATGCTTCTATGGATTCCTTTTTTGGTTTAAATGTAAATCAGGCAGAGATGACATGTTGAGAGGCTTCAATTAGCAGCAGCAGTGGATTCGATTATAGGTTTAACTCTCTTCATAGCAAAGGATCACAAAGGGACAAGAGGATTGAGTTGTAGGAAACAGTTTGTGTATTCCTCTTTTTGTGCAAACTTAACACAAAAAGTTGATGAGTGTGTTCTTTTTCTAATTAGACTAATTAGGCCTTTTACTTATAGATATTGGCCTTGGACACTAAATTAATTGTGTTTGTGTCAAGCTGGAACCTTTTTAACTTGATCAGCTTTAAAGCTTTAAGACTCAGTTGAAGATGAACATGCCTCAGGTTAGGTCTCGCTGAACTGAAAGCATGCCACTTGCCATTCACACAGGCATAAATTGAAGACCACAGCTGATTTGACAGTTTGTTTACAACTCTGTAACTGTAAGTGTGCCCATGTCTTTTTCCTATCATAAATGTCAACATGTAAGTGGTATGCAATACATCCACGGCTGAAGTACTTGTGTGGGCAGATGTAAACACACACAAGTAAATTGACTGAAGTGGACGTGTGCAATTAATGTTGTATATACAGACTCCCCTTGGTACGGGTATTTTTTCTCTCGCGCTCACACACATGCACTTGAACACACTTGCTGCTTTGATCCGTCCAGCAGTAAGACATTCCTGTGCTGTGGTGAGTAGGAGCAGCAGACAGATTGAGGGGGGAGCAGTGTTTATGAATCGAGCGTATTGTCCTGTCAAGGTGGTATGGTGGAGAGCCCAGGAGACCTGAGCACACGGAGACCTGAGCCCACAGAGACCCTCTCCCCAGGGGCCTCGGAGGCCCTACACAGGGTGCCCATAAGGCTGTAAGGACAGGAGCCCTATGTAGGGCTTTTTATGAAAGGAAAATTGATACTGTGTTGAAAGCATACCTGTAGTATACTTGTGCTGCTCCTCATGAGTTGTTCTCAAAATGTTCTTGCCAGCATTTTTCTCTCCCTCTGGCTGCCTCTCTAGGTCTTTCTGGCCCTCTTTCACCTGTAAGTTATCCACTGTGATTGATTGCCATCAGTTACTGGTCACCTAACCCATGCTGTTTTACTTTTCATCAAGACCCCTTCTTTGTCCCCTGTACCCTTTTCTCCATCATCTCCATTCATCACCTCCTTCAGACATGACCTCTTTGTCTTCTTCACCTCTTAAGAAATAATCTTTTAAGTGCTATTGTTGCTGCCAGAGAAAAATGGGTCAACATACTCTCAGGAGGGCCTTTTTTACAGTGTTACTGTTCAAAGTACTTTAAAGACAATGACGCAGAGAAGAGGACACAGTGCAAGTGTTTACCAGTCTAGGCAACTAGCCGGTTTTGCTTTTGTCCCCACCTCAAAATCTTACCTTTCCAGTTGTCTTAGCTCCACTTAGCTTCTACTCCGGTCTTCGTGACATTTCAGAAGCATTTAGGTGACAAAAAAAACATGTTTGCCTTGTTCCTACTGTGAATGGCACACAGAAACCAGGAACATTTAATATTATTCTGTACTCTCACACACATTTATACATATTTATGCCTACTGTACTAATAATGCTTAAAATCTGTGAAAGCAACTTTAGCAACTAAAACGTTTTCAAATTCAGTCGATAAATTAGTGTCTACCCAGACTATGGAATTTCAAGATAAAATGGAAAATGTAGAAACCATGTCTTGTCGTCTTTCCAATTCTTTCAAGTCAAGTCATTTTCTTGTATAGCTCAAATCAAATCTCAATACTTAGACCCTCCATTTGAATATGAAAGAAGTCCCAAAAAATCCCTCTCTTCCACCACCATTTATCTCATCCTCTCATCTTTTCACCTCTCTCACTCCCAGCTCTGGCCTCCCCTTGCAGTAAAATCTTGTTTTTATGCCCCTTCTCACCCTGCCGGCGGCTGCGCACATGCACACAACATACACTCCATGCACCCCAAACAAAGAAGCTGACTACTGCTGGGGCTGGTGATCATAACCTTTGACCCTTTGTTCAGTTCATGGTGCTTTACACAGCGGCTAGTTGAATGACAGTGGCAGTTAAACGCACATACGCTTTTACCTCTTCTACACCCCTAGATTACAGTCTTAGACCTCATTCACGGTGCTTAGAAGCAGACGTGAATGCATTTCTTTTTTGACCCATACCCTCAGGTGTACAATTCTAACACAGACTGACAACTGGTTATTTAAGAGGCTGCAGTCAAAGGAGGGCAATAAACTAACTTTGCAGAATATGGCGGGCTCCTTGCGTCACTTAACTGAAGCTCTGATATGTCTGAGATGTAGATTCTCTGATACTATAACAGATAACAGCCATTCCCTCAGGTGTATAATGCTGTTTCTGTATTTGGCTGTGGGAGTTCACTGCTACTGAAGCTGCAATGATATGATGTACTTGTCTGAAGTTTAATAATCCACCACTCTGCATCCTGTGATTGTTGATCTTAAGAGCAAGATAAATTCTCTGAAAGGCTTCTTTTGGCATGTCCTGTTTTATTTTGTTTGACTGGAAATAATCAGCACAACAACATTAGCTCACCAGAGCAGATTAAAGGAGTTTAGAAGAAAATAGAAAAGTATTTAATGTGTATCAGTCACATCTGGCCAATATCATTTACGCCCTGGCCTGCAAATCTTGTTCTTCAGATGTTAGAAAAGATGTTTGTTTGTACAAACCAGACCAGATGTCCCATCATTATCATTTTAATAGTTTGTTTTCAGTAAAAATGAAGATTTTGATGCTAAAATTATCATTCCCACTAATTGTGAATCATATTGTAATCGTAATATCTGTCAAAAATAATCACAATATGACTTTTGAACCATATCGTGCAGCCATTATTCATTTATCAATTCATTATTAAGCGATGACTTGAAATTAGATATATTCCTAATTACTGAAATGGATTATTTTCCTCCATATCCTTTTAAGTGTGAGACAAAGTACAAAAATAACTTTCTAAGTCAAGTCCAAGGCTTTGTATGAGTTACTCTGATCCATTACAGGAACCAGGCACATCAAAGGATCTGACCCTCTGCCTGACACACAATGAGGCCTTATTAGAGAGAGCCATGTTGGAGAGAATAACGAAGGAGCAGGGAGGGAGGGAGTCAAGCGGGAAGAGAATGTGAAATATTTGATTGTATTCAGAGACCAGAGAAACACTATAAATGGGAATGGGCGTGTGCACACATGCAAATGGTTTCTTTTTTTTTTTTTTTTGGACAACGTGGTGTGTTACCTTTACCTCTGACATGGCACACCTTTTGACATTTTGCACACATTTTTCTGAATACCCCTCTCTTACCTACATTTTGTTCAGCCACATTGATTACAATGCTTTTAAGCTGTGATGCCTGCAGCTACAATCACCATTTACCATCATGTTGTGTTAGAGTAAATTTGGCCAGTTCCTGAAATAAACTAATGGAACTAATGGACTTTGTTCTTTGCTGTCTTCATAAGAACTATACCTACTGTCAATGTGTGATTTCTGATACACCCGTTCACCTTTCTAATCTGTTTTGTTCTGTTCCACAGATGAGCATGACGCCGTACAGCAGAAAACATTCACCAAATGGATAAATGCACAGTTCTCCAAGGTAAGGAAAGATTGTACACCAGTTCAAACAAATGCCAAACCTTTACTACACTACGGAATAGGGTGACAGGCCTGCTGCTTGCAGGGAAGTAGACTAAATGGTGGAAATGTTTAGACCAATGAAGTTTGTGTGTGTGGTCCTGTTTTTATATATCATAAACACACCATCCACAGAGTTGTGTTAAATATGTTTAGTTGATTTTTCTAACTGGATTTTGTTTAAACATTTGCACTCCTCAGACAACATAAACTCTGAAGCTCTTAATTGCTCTTAGTTTCACTCTCGATCTTGAATTTCTGTCGCTACATAGGCCTGCGTTGGCTTGTTTGTTGATTGCTTACTGCAACAACATCTGAATGATTGTTTCTGGGCTGCCTCTGTGTAGACTAGTAGTCAGTTGTGCTGTTTTGTCTAATCAGACGGAGAAGACGCCTATCAAGGATATGTTCTCTGACCTGAAGGATGGGAGGAAGCTGCTGGACCTGCTGGAGGGTCTCACCGGCACTGTCCTGGTAAGTTTGCACATGTGTGCATTAAGGTTTGCACAACAAATTATGAAGAAATAAGTCATCTGACCCTAAAATAGAGAGAAAAAAATAGATTTTTTTTTATTTCCACTACTATTGGTTTATCTTATCAGTACTCAGTCTTTATCAGTACACTCTCGCCAAAGTTTGACTTCATTTGGAACTTCGGCTACGGCACGAAAAACACACGTTTGCCGTGTACGTGCATTTTTATCAAGTTTGGCAACACTGATGTCAAGCACAGGTGATAACAGCAAAGAAACGCTTATTGTTTTTTTGGCAAAGCATGCAATGAAATGACAGGAGTGTTCTGTTTTTATAAGCTAAGTTGTGACTGCTCCACTCAAGCTGGGACTAGCACATGCATCACCTCATGTACACTCAAATGTTAAACCTACTGTAAACACTGGAGCCACACGGGGGGCCTCAGCAGATGTATTTTGGATCCTGGAATAGAACGAGCTAAATTAAGAACAGATGTTTTGCAAACACACTATAGCCCCTTTTTATCCTTTGTAGATGAATAGATGTTCTCATATTATTTGAATTTTAGCATTTTCTGCACTTATGTTATTTTCAGCAAGACATTTCAGTTTTTCCTCCACACAGACTTCGCTCAACAAACACTCTCAAACAGGAGTTGGTAAAGAACCAGATAAAATGTGTATTTATAAGAATAATTCTTCTAAAGGAATTTTGGATATTCCTTTTTTTTTTAATCAGTGTCACCTTGCTGTCACCCCTTCAGCGGCATATCTGCTTTCTAGCACCTGCAGCTGTACTAAGTGCCAACTGTCTCTATGCCACACACACACACACACACACACACACATATACACACACACATACATACACACACACATACTCTCTGTGTGATACCAGGATACTAATTCTATAAGTGGGTGCTAATGAGTGGTTGAGGTATGTGAAGACTTTAAAAGGATTTGCAGTTGGCAGCTATTCATCCTGCCATTCTTTCCATAAGTTGGACTGTTGACACTGCTGATAAGGTAATGGGTGTGATGAATGTATGGTGAAAAACACTCCGCTGAATGATGGCACAGCTTTTCTTAGTGTAATGCCTGTCATTGTACATTTTAGTACTCAGTATTAGTTTTACTATCATGCATGTCCATTCTCCATCCATTTGACAAGAGCTCAAATGGTTGATTTACGTCATGTTTAGATCCCTGCAGACTTACGATTGGCTAGTGAACTTTGAACATGCTGATTTGACTGTGTTTCCTGTTCCTCAGACCAAAGAGAGAGGTTCCACCAGAGTGCACGCTCTCAATAACGTCAACAAAGTACTTCAAGTTTTGCATCAAAATAATGTGAGTATTGAGGTGTTTTCTGGTGTTTTTAATGCTGTTGTTGCATCAGCTGCTGTTTGGGAGATGCTTTTAGCCAGGTCACATGTAGCATAGTGGTTCTTATCCAGCTTCCATTAAGAATCTGCAGGATTTCATTTGAGCCACACAGTACAACACAGTACAGCCAGAAAGAGGGAACAATAGTGAATAGTAAAATTAGCTACTGTTGTATTTTGTTGAAGTAAAACCACATACACTCTTTGGCTATAATACATTTGACATATCTTAGACTACACTGTAAGTGATGTGAACAGTTTCAGTCAAGGTAATGCTTGATTCAAACCAGTTACTTCCTGTAACTTTACCAGACTACATGTTCTCCTGTGGCCTTTTATCTGAATGTGTAATTTTGTCTACATTGTCTTCTGTATTTTTCTTTGTCTGTCTGCCTCCCTCTCTCCTTTGCTACCTCATCCCTCCTCCTCCTCTCTGTGTAATAGTTGGTCTTAAATGCCTTGAATTTAGCAGTGAGAGATAATGGGCAGGGCACGCTCATGGGAAGTAGCAGAGGCTGGGGTTTGCATGCAACCCCTGCTGGTGTCCCTCCTGCCAGAGCCAGAGACTGTCAGCTGGCAGTGAAGGCCAGATTTCCCACGGGCCCTTTTAAGTCTGCTGAGTGGAGAAAATGAAATAAGGGCTTAGAAGTTTTTGAAAATAAATAGATATCATAAATCCTTGATGTTTGTAATAGAAGTTTAGAAATCATGAATCCAAAACTATACCCAAAAACCAGCAGGGGCTACAGCATTGAAAAATGTATTAGTAGTCACAGTGTTGAAGTGCAAAAAGCAAGTTTTTGTAAATGTTTTTGGTTCCAACTCGGCTTAAACTTGTAAAGAAAGCATCCTGACTGGAAACATTACAAATTGGCATGGGATGCACACGGCCCAGGACAGGAGGGCTCTGCAGTGAGTGCATCAGTGATATTCGTGAGGTGCTTGTGCAGAGCCCAAAGAATACTAAAAGACAAAACCCACCCCAGCAACAGCCTGTTTACCCTGCTACCGTCTGACAAGCGGTATAGAAGTATCTGCTGCCATACCACCAGACTACAGAACAGCTTCTTTCCTCAGGCTGTGAGACTTTATCCTATGCAGACCATAAATTATATAAATTAGTGTTTTGTTTTTTGTAGTATAAAGGGACTACAGCTTGCATTTTGTTGGACAACCCTCTGTTGTGGAATGATAGATAAATTAACCTCGAACCTTACGCAGTCAAAACACACATGAATAAGATGTGTGAAGCCTTTCCACTGTCAACTGCAATATGCACAAGACTCATCATAATTGTCCTCTGCAATAATGCTGACCTAGACCGCTGTCTAACCAGAGGTTAAAGGGAGTGCTGGATGATTCTTGTTGCTTCAAAAGCTTCACAGGGAAGAATATCCTAGTTTACTGTAGTTTGGGGACGGAAACATATACACAGATGCAGCGGTATGATTTGCTGTATATGTGAGCTCCTGCGTGTGTGTGTGTGTGTGAGAGACAGAAAGAAAGAGAGGGAGAGAAGTGATGGTTTGGCAGGATGGGGCTAATTGGGACTAGACATGGGTCAGAGGTCACTTTTTAGTTTGACCAGACACTTGATCTCATGTTCCACTCGGTGCCTTGATACTCTCAAAAATATTTATATGTAATCAGTCTGCACTTGGCCTCACCTCGTATGGCAAGTGCTGGACAAGGCTGCAGACATACTTTATAGGTAGCATTGGAAGGCTGTAATGAGGGCGGTATAATCCACAGTGTGGTGCAGAAGTGGTTTAGAAGTATTCAGCTGTAACACTGTGGACACTCATTAAGATTTGAAGCAATATTATTTGCTCCACTGAACTCAGATCAGAGTTGTTACTTTATGGGTGCTAAGTGTTGTAACAGTTATAAACAGCTTAATTTTGAAAGGATATTATGATTACAGCAAACAAAAGAGACTTTACATTGTGTGCAACTGTGTCGCCTTTCCAATCACTCTGATCGAACCAGGAAACATTCCTACTTTAACGCACAGCTGTGCACCGTTGCTTGTGTTATTAATTATTTAATTTTAACTTTTAAGTCTCATTATCTTTCATATCTTTTAGGTTGATTTGGTAAACATAGGAGGCACCGATATCGTGGATGGGAACCACAAGCTGACCTTGGGCCTCATCTGGAGTATTATTCTTCACTGGCAGGTGAGCACACACATATTCACAAACATGTGCTGTTCCTTTCTTTCCACCCACCTCCAGCACACAAAGGCTGATTAATGTTTGCTCTGACCGTGAACTCACAATTCACAGATGTTACAAGAGGGATCAAAAATAGAGTTGATGGAAAATCTGTTTTATTATCTTATTGTTGTGCACACATGCGTTCATCCATGTAAACATGCTCATCCATTGCTTTGTGTGAGTCTGAGTTGCTGCTAATGGCCATGTGAAGGAAAACAGTTAATTAAGAGATTTACCTTAAACTGGTTTGAACACTGCCAGTCTTCTACTATAGTTTTTCGTTACTCCATTATTATTAGGTTACATTAATGTCACTATTGTCACCAAGTGTGCATGGTATGCTGTTGTTATCATAGCAAACCTGTTAATGTGATGGGAAAAATAAATAAGATATTATCTACTATAGTAGATAGAGTAATGTGAATCCTGGTAAAGAAAGGAAATAAAAATGTGCAAAATTGAATGTTTTTACTGTTGTTTATTATCTAATATTAATGTGTGTTTTTTCCATGTTAATGCAGGTGAAAGACATAATGAAGGATATTATGTCCAACTTGCAGCAGACCAACAGTGAAAAGATCTTACTGAGTTGGGTACGCCAATGCACCCGTTCATACCCAGAAGTCAATGTGCTGAACTTCACCACTAGCTGGGCTGACGGCCTGGCACTCAACAGCATCCTACACCACTTCAGGTGAGGAGGGATGATAGACTCTGTGGTTGCTGGAGCACAAAATGTGGTCATGGTAACAAACCTTTTTACTGCAGTGGTCTCAGGAAAAAGCGTGGTTGTTGCATGCCATTTTGTGAGACCGCATTTTCGGTACTTTTCCCTCCCTGCCACCCTCTTGTTGTGCTGCGTTGTGAAATTTGTTGCTGTGAGATGAATGTTCTGCTTTAAGTTGACATTGCATATTTGACATATGCCCTTTGACTCTGAATGTAAATCACACTGAGCACGAACCAAGACCTTCAAATGCTGACAAGGAACCAAGGCCTGGAATTTAGAGATGGCAATGTGTAGGACCCTTTCTTTGTCGTGTTGTGTGTGTGTATTAAGTGGCGGGATGTCAGCGTTGACAGTGTCAGCGGCCTGCGGGTGTGGTACCACGTGCTTTAGACTGTTACTCAATGGTTTACGTCCGGTACATGTTCCACTGTTTGCACCGCTTGGGGTTGTGTGTGGTTGTGTGCGTGTGTGGTGTGTGCGCGCGGCGCTGTTGTGTGTGGAAAGAAGAGAGCTACAGAAGGACGGTAGGAGGTGTTGTCCCCCCCTCATTATAGCCCCGTCTGTCCTCCTACTAGGGACACCGCGACGTACCACGCGGCACTGTCTTACAGGCAACAAGCATTCACCCACACACACACAGGCACACTCCACCCCCTCAGAACACAACTACACACGCACAGACACCACACACACACACCACACAGGCCTGTGAGCTGTGAGAAAGGCAGTGTATGGTTTGACCTGGGCCAGGGTTTTAGGTTGGATCACGAACAACACATTCCCACCCATACCTGGGCTCTCAACAGCAAGTCTCCCCTGCACACAAAAAGAAAGGTCATTTCACTTTTTTTCACGTACACCAAGGATAGGAAATGCTTACAGGTAAATATAGTAATTTATTGCCCCAAAAGGTTATTCTAAAACCAATCTCCTCCCCTTGAATTCATATCACATGTATGGCATACATACTATGGTTTTATCAAAATGTATGTGCCATAGAACAACAGAAAGTGGTGTTTCTTAAAAATCAAAAAGAGGAGAAATTATGGTTCAATTCAGGTAACGAAGTGTTACCCTTTCATTCAACGTTTCAGATTTACCTATCACTCCCAACAGCACCAGCACTTAGAGAAATTCACCACATTTTAAGGCAGAGTAGTATACGTGGGTATGTGTGATATGATCAGAAGCACTGTCTAACCCTGTTAATACTGGGACTTCCTTGAAGCTACTGGCTCCATGGTTTGCCGCTCTTGATTGCCTACGTTCTCGTGTGGTTTTTAGGCCAAATGCATTCAAGGCTGGGAAGCAGGTGGTCAGATTGTCAGCCCCAGTGGAGAGACTGGGACCATTGCTTCGAGCTGTATGCCAAAGACAGACGTGTTCATTAATTGAGGTACTGGATCCCGAAGTTACGGCAACTCTCTTTCACCCACTTTTCCACATTTACACATGGGCACGCTGATTTTCCATTTGAACCAAGAATAATGGAACTGTTTTTATTTAAAATTGGAATAGGAAAGGAGAGGAGGACGAGGGAAAAGCACTATCAAATTTCTTAATCTTATAGTGGTACCAAAGTGGATATGTGGATGACTATACTCAGAACTGTCCAAAATTCCCACATATTAAAACAGTCTGTGTTCACAAAGTTCTACTTTAATGTTCATGCCAGCAGGTTGGGTAAACTCATGGTGGGAGTAAATACTTTTGATGTTGTCTTTTGGCTGAAGATTTGTAAGAACTGTGTTTGCTCAGAATGTTTTTCCAGTTTCATGTAGCACCTGTAGATGCTCGGTGTACCGTTGGCTGTCTGTATTCACACAGACATTTGATTATGTCAGAACCGTAGGGCCAGTCACACCTGAACCTGTGTACAAAGCCAGCTTTAGTCAATATAAACAAGTCTCAACCTGCCCCCTTTTCTCTCCCCTCCACCTTTGCTTCTTCAATCTCCTCCTGTCACCCCTTAACGGCTATCTCACTCCCATTTCATGCTGCCTTTTCTCCTTATGCAATTCTCAACTTCCCTCCTGCGTTACATGCTTAATTTGGTCCTTTGCCTGCCCCCATGTCTTCACCTCCTGTACCCACCATTTTTGACCCCCCGCCCCCACAGACTTGTGGCTAGTATCATACCAGATAAGAAGTCCATCCTCATGTACGTGACGTCACTGTTCGCTGTGCTGCCCAAAGACGTGAGCATGGAGGCTATCAGAGAAGTTGAGACCCTGCCTCGCAAATATAAAGTGGAGTCTGAGGACTCTGGTCCAGGCGTCAGTGCTCAGGTAAAGTGCACAATACAGTAGGCTGCAGTTTGTACTCAATGTGATATTATACAGGAGGGAACAAGGTGGCAAAGAATAACAACAGCTCAGGCTTCTCTGAATTGTGGTTTTAGGGCAAAGGGGGAAGGACACATGGGTCTAGACTAATAGGAGACTCATTGCACTCATTGCACGCAAAACCTTCTAAATTGCTTACACAGAAGGTGCTTACTGGAGTCCATAGCTACATCTGTTTTTCAAGGAATCCAAGGTGTTCTTTTATGCGCAAAAATCCACAGCTGGTAACCAGCAAAGGTACACAAAAGCACAGTAAGTCCAAACTTCAGGAATTTATATCTGGAATCAAAAAGTGTGTTTCTTAACAAATATCTGGTTCTAATAATTTGGAATCTGATACAGTTCATAACTCGTTCTTGAGAGAAAAAAACATAATTTTGCGTGTAGAAATTAAGGCACAAAAACATTTTTCATTGGTCAGTAAGCAAAAAAAGGGAATATGAAAGCACTGCTCGAACTTAATTACAAAACATTGAACACATATGTGCGTATGAAGAACTTAACTGCATATATATAACTGCATTTTGTGTTTCCTGAGTATAGTGTTATATTCACAGAGATTGACTGTTAAATTGTTTGTTATTCCTTGGGACTGTTCTGAATCTGCAGAAAAAGACTTCACCTCACACTGTTTTAGTTCTTTTGCAATAGTTCAACAGAACACTTAAATGATTTAGGAAGGTTTTTCTAACTGTGCTTTGTCATCTGTGTTTGCCATAAAGCTAACTACGTTTTATATAAACTGGATTTAACCTTGCTAGCATACGTCAGCAAAAAGCCAACAGCTGACACCCTCCCCAAACTTTGCATTTGGATTTGAAGTTCTGAATTTATGTTCTGCCTATGTCAATATATTTAGGCTGCAAAGAGATTGTACTATACTAGACTGTGACCATTCGGTTCATAGGGCATACAGAAAGAAGTTTCGGACAAATATGTGTTCCAACAGACCCCTAAATACAAACCGTGTAATACAACCTCCTTAATCCCAGTGGTGCTTCAGACCAGCAGATATATCTCCCCCAGTGGCTCCCTGTCTGAACCCCCTCTGTCTCTGTCGGTGTAAACAAACCGTTATCTCTTCCCATGAACGGAGAGATGACAGTTCAGCTCCTGAACTTCAGCTTCAACAACTGAAACACTGGAGTAAAAAAAAAAAAAAGAAAGAAAATTTAACCCATAACTGCTTCAACCTTTGCTTCTGCATTGTGTTTCTGATAACATTCAGTCTGAAGGCCACAGACTCCGTTATGTACAGGCATAAGGAATATTGTGAAGTGTCTCATTGTGTGTTGCCAGATAGAATGAGTCACTCCCACTCTGAAAAAGCCATCTCCTTCATTCTCTCCAGCACTGCTCATGAAAAGCACAGCAGGCACAGGCAAATAGGGAGGAGAGCCATGACTCACCCCTCTGACATTAGCCAACAGACTGTGCTGCGTGCTGCTGGAAACACAGAGCTGTAAAGGAAGGGAAGGAAATTAGGGAATAATTTTGTGGGAATGCAGAGAGTGGACAGGGAAAGTTATCCGAGCATTAAAGATGTCTGTGTGCTGGTGGGCAGGTGGCTGTCATGCATATACCGACACGGCTCAATGTTTAACATCTGTGAGCATTTCAGGGTGTCTTATTTGACTAACTCGATTCAGTTGGACTCCCCTGCCTTTTCACTGACTCGAGATCTCCTTCTTTCTCTGAACATATATATTATAGTAACTACCACAGGCCAAGCTGCAGCGCCCCCTCAAAATGAAATTTGCTCAGTCCCTTCCAGCCCACTGTGCTCTTTGCTTTCGATCACATACATCACTGGGGGAGTTCATTTCAGTCAGAAGTCAGAAAATCCCAAAACCGCCTCTTAAGGTTTTATTGCCCATGGGCACATACTTCACACGTCCTGGAACGACTGCTGGAAAAGTCTTTTTAAATAGTGCTCTGATTGGTCCAACAAGGGGTTTACTTTCCTGGCACATTTCTCCTCCTCATAGGAAGTGATGCGTAATGCTGCTGGTAGTGAGACTGAGTGGAGGAAAAATAAAGGCTCTTTGTTTTTGATGACTCTCCTCTTAGTTATAGATTCATAATATTGGTTCATGATATTGCTGTGGCGTTCTTAACCCTGATTTCAGATAATGATTGTTTTAGATATTGACTAGTACTTCATCTTGAGATGAAACTCAATTTCATCACATAACCATCTTTAAAGTTGGAATATCACTGATGATAAGGCCACTGATGTATGCATGATGATGCATTACATGCTCCAGATTCACAACTTCAAAAGTGATGAATGCAGGGATTGAGTTGAGCAAATCATCTGGTGATAATAAAGTGTTCTGTTGAGCCAGACCACAGCTATTTTACAGCCATTCAAGTCAATAAATAGACCAAGGCTGCAGTTTTCTCTCTCACTCTCTCCCTTTCTCTCTCCCATCTCCTTTTGTCTCTGTTGCTTTGTCTCTGCCAGCCTATACTGGTCCAACATAAGGGCTTACAGTATTTTTATTACTTATTCACAAAATATCCAAAAGGTCACTGAATATTTTCAGCAGGTGACCTTTTCCTGAGTTTGCTACACAGACATTACTGCTGTGTAATTTCAGCCTGGAAAACAAAGGTCCATTGGACTTGTTACTGTACCAGACCCAACACACCCATTAGCATTTCTGTCATCTTTGACTTGGCACGGTTGCGGCTGCAAAGATTTTATCTCCTATTCATTTCAGCTCCAGGCACATTTGTTGAGCTCTGTCAAGCTTTTTCCTACATTTCTTTCAGAAAAATAAAAACCTGGAATAGTTAATCTAATAATAAGTTAATGCTGTTGTCTACAAAGGGCATCACATGTTTACGTAGTGTTTAAGAACCCTGTATTTAAAGGAATTTATAATTGAGATTGTGTTTGAAATATAATTCAGCTGCCTCTTTTATGGTGTTGATTTAGGAATTATTCTGAGAAATTGTTGAAGGATACCACACTGCCAAGACTACTGTCATTACACAGCAAAGTTATCTTTCTGCTCACATCTAAAGCGTTAATTTTAAATTTAAAGTCTGTGTCCTTAAAGCAGTTTTCAAGCTGTTTCTTCTTTTAAGGCTGCACTCATCCATCTCTGACTGCACACCCAACTTTACCCAGGATTACCACTGTGTCTCAAACTTACTGCTATTCCTAGAATGAGGATTGACCTGCCCAGCGTGCCAGGGGCACCTCCCAGCATCCCATAATAGGCCTGCAGTTGTTTTGCTTTTTTCTTAACTGAGCATGGCAGGTCACTCTGCATGCTCCAGAGCAGCACAGGCCTCTCCTAGATGTCTGGTTCTATTTTAAAACTCACCAACTGATGTGCACACATGAAAATGAGAGGAAAGGACAAATGGAGGCTTTTGGGCATGGCTGTGTTTTATAGACATCGTTGATCTGAAAGCTTTCAATTTTTTGTTTTATGTTTGAGTTTTAATGTGGCCATGTGAATGTGACATATGTGGGAAGTAAAAATCGTTCTTGATTTCTTTCCAGTTTAAAGACTGTAGACTTGACCTTGTATAATGGCATAATATAAATCACTACATTACTCCTGTTCCATGCTATCTGTCAGTGCTAGTCCTAGCACATTACGTACTTTAAATCATATTTCACTTTTAATACAGTAATGATAACCCCTATGTAAACATATTGTCTGTAATTTGGTCAACCTGTACCATTATCCCTTGCCTCATGTTTCTCAGAATGTGCAGATGGAGGAGGCAGGCCGCAGCCCCCAGCCGGAGACCCCCAGCACCCTGACAGAGACAGAGGGGGAGATGGAAGGCAGCCTGCTGGAAGTAGACCTGGACAGCTACCAGACGACGCTGGAGGAGGTACTGACCTGGCTACTGTCAGCCGAGGATGCCCTACAGATTCAGGACGAGGTGTCGAACGATGTGGAGGAAGTCAAAGAACAGTTTCACACACACGAGGTAGGAGGAGACCTGCAGGTTGGCCTAAAGCTTGCAGAGATGGAAACATGCGTACACATGTAGACAAGGGTGCAAACAACTGTGTTATTTATTTCTTTATGTTAATGTATCTTTATAAAGTCCATTGTCACCTTTTATCAAAGCTACTGTGATTTGGATATTGCACTTGGCCATGTTATGATTTCGATTAATTGTGAAGCCCTTACCAATACGGTATGTTATCTGTCTGACTGCCGCACCAGTTTTTTGTCTACGAACTGTCACACCATTGTTGAGACTGAAGATTGTGTCCCAGAGATAGAGGCCTCCCACAACCAACAGTACATGCTCCGTACATGTTGAGAATGCCAGGAATTCTGCTGAGAACAGAGGTGCACAGCAC